TGTATACCCTCCCTGTATACCCTCCCTGTATACCCTCCCTGTATACCCTCCCTGTATACCCTCCCTGTATACCCTCACTGTATACCCTCCCTGTATACCCTCCCTGTATACCCTCCCTGTATACCCTCCCTGTATACCCTCACTGTATACCCTCCCTGTATTCCCTCACTGTATACCCTCCCTGTATTCCCTCACTGTATACCCTCCCTGTATACCCTCCCTGTATACCTCACTGTATACCCTCACTGTATACCCTCCCTGTATACTCTCCCTGTATACCCTCCCTGTATACCCTCCTGTATAGCCCTCCCTGTATACCCTCCCTGTATACCCTCCCTGTATACCCTCTAAGGCTTCATCACAACGGCAGCTCGAGGCGCCAGAGCAGCAGCGTTCAGTGCAAATAAATGCGCTGCCTCCGACGCGTGGTGCTCAGGCGTCGCGTGGCGTTGGTCCTGGTCACACGCATTCGTGTCACGCATTCGTATGATGCATTCGTGTCACGCATTCGTATATGATGCATTCGTGTCATGCATTCTTATATGACGCATTCGTGTCACGCGTTCGTGTCTTGCATTCGTGTCACGCATCCGTATATGACGCATTCGTGTCACGCATTCGTGTCGTGCACTCGTATAATGCATTCGTGTCACGCGTTCGTGTCACGCATTCGTATATGTAGAGCAGGAACGCGTTGCATTTAAACAGAGCTAAATCCCGTGACATGTTGATATTCTAAATCAAATCGTAATTGGATTCAGGGGCCCTTCAATGAGACGCAAAATAATTCTGCGGCAGGTAATGGAATCTTCTCCTAGAAGGCCGAAAAAGTACTAGAAGATATTAATTTTCATATTTTATTTATATTTTTAATTTCTCTATTTTATATTTTAATCTTTTATTTCCTTTGTATTTTAATTTCCTTCGTTTCTGAAATATTAATTAGTTTAGGATTTAATCATTCAAATGATCTTACTATGAGCATTGAACATTTGCTCAATTAATAATAGTTTCGTTTTTGTCAATTGAAAAAAGGTTGATGAGGAAATTTGCAATTTCTTGTAATCTAACTAAAAGGGCATCCGTCGTCCCAATTACTGCTAGGCTCGTTACTATTATCAGATCACTTTCTCCCACACTCGAAAGGTGAACCTCCTAACACAATTTAACTTGAACGTCATACTTATTTTTATTTGAAAATTAATATTAAAAATGAAATAGCAATGGGATTAGCCCATGCACTACTCATTCAATCGGGTCATTTTTGTGACTGGTCGGACCTATCGGCTGAGCTATACTCTACAAAGCTCTGAACCTTGTTACTTGCATATGATCCTCCGTCGTTATTTATTCGTTCCCATATCGCACCTTTGTAAAGTAGATTATTGAATAACATCTTATTTATGTTAACTGCCCTCTATAATTGGTTGCTAAATCCTGTAGAGTTAACGAATAAATATTCGTATTCACCTTAAATTTATGAACCGCATCCTCTTGACACAATCCTAAGTTATTATTTTGTCAACTGATCAGGTTTCGAAATTTAGTTATGCTCTAAATTTTTTTAACCTTTCGTGACTGATGGGGCAATTACATCTCGCTCAATATTATATCCTATAGCTTAACACATCACGCAACATTCAAGGCCCAGCTAACTACAGGGATTTTTGAGAATCACTCCTGCACCTATGTTAACTCCAAAGGAATATTATTTTCATCTCTTTGTTGTGAAATGTTATTCTAGGCTATTGCACTGGTTTGCCAAAGGAAATTTGTGAAATTATTCTACAACCTACGAATATATGGTGGGTAAATATTTTTTCTTGCAAAGTCAGTATTTCTCACAACAAATTTATTTGTGATAATGATGAATTTCTATGAACCCTGACTGCAAATTTGTCTGTAGGGCCAAGCATTGAATGTAAAAGCAACGTTTCAACAAATAAAAGCAACAGAAGTGCAGCTACAGCGCAGCAGCCTAATATGGCGCAAAACCACCTCAATTGCGCCCATATACTACCTGGACTTCCTAGTCCCGTTTATATAATTTTTACCATCACTATATATTTAATTATTATGTACAGAAGCGCATTATTCAGTTCTAATATATCATGATTCAGTAAAAAAAAAGTAGAAATAAAAAGTTGTAAAATACATTGCAGTTACGAAATGGTTAATGTGAGTTTCTCTCAAGGAACAAACGCGCAAAAATTGAATTTAGCCCAATGAAACTATTGTTTTTAGTCGAGTCAGTCATGAAAAATAGGATGTGTTCAGTCTTGTTGGCGGGTATCTTGCTTACCACGCCCCGCCCCGCGTGGGGGGAGGCCCTGTGGGTAGACTCACGCTGCCCCTCCACCTGCATGGCGTCTTCTGACGAACTATTATCAGTCCACACAAGCAGCCTCATCCTGTGTGCCCTGATCTGTGTGGCACACAAGTGTGAAGCCTTCCAACATGATAATGGTAAGCAACCACAAACACTTAGAGAAATTAATGAGACTTTGAATGGCGGTTCAGTTTTTGCCTCCGTGAAATTTTTCCTGACTCAGTTTGGCCCGGAAAGGAAGAATCAGTGCTAAACGCAGAAATAAATTAAGCGTGTCACTATTTGCACAAAAAACCTATCCACTTTCCAAAAACCAAAACCTATCCAGTTATCATTTCCAGAACGAATGCTCCAGTTATATGTGATGTGGAAAGTTCTTATTCTCTATAGCGAAGTTCCCTCCACTTTACATCGCTAGTCTTTGCCGGTGCTTGCCACTAAAATTAAGCAACATTTATTTGGGCTTGTATCTTTTCCTCTTTGTTGTATAAAACTCTTCTTTCTCTTTCCTCTCCCACAGTGACATAAAATTCAGCCCCCATCACCTAGCATTAACCAAATTGGGCACCTAGCGCATTTTTCGTCTCTTATTATCATCATATTTTTCTCCTCTCAGCCAGTCTGCTACACCCGTTCCTATTGTCCAATATTCCCGCTGCAGCCGA